CCTGATTAGTTCACTTTTTACTACTGTCACATTCACTGGATTCTCCAAAATAATTTTTAACTGTACACAATGACAGTAGGCATTCCTGCTAGTTCTTTAAAGGAAAGAGTTTGTTTTAAATACTTCTAGGCTTTTTTCATAAATAACCTTCATTGTGTTTAGTTTCCTTCAATATCTATTTTACTCAAGAACCTTCATCAGGTATGGCTATAGAATCTTAGCAACAGTCTTTCAGCATCTATTGATGATTGTTTTCTTTAATTCACTTATGTAATTGTGTTAATAGATATACTGATCAAAATACTCTTAATTCCTGGGGTACAATTATATTAACCATTTTAAAAACTGCTGCATTTTTATTTAGAATTTTCATTGGTATGTGTGAGATTACTCTAGGAGTTACTTTTTGTGTTTATCAGTTTTTCATATTAATGTTATATAACCAAATGAAATTTTCCAAATTAATTAATGCGGTGAGGTATGCCTGGATAGCTCAGTCAGTTGAGCATCCAACTCTTAATTTCGGCTCAGGTAATGATTTCACAGTTCACGGGTTTGAGCCCCACATCTGGCTCTGTGCTGACAGCTTGGAGCCTGCTTGGGATTCTCTCTTTTCCTCCTCTGGTTGTGCTCTAAATCTTTCAAAATAAATAAACAAACATTTTAAAATAATTTGAGATAATTTAAATAACACTGGAATTTTCTTGCAATCTTAGTACTTAATTTATTTATTTGTTTATTTATTTTAGAGAGGGAGCACACGAGCAGGAAGAGGGGCAGAGGAACAGAGAGAATCATAATGGCCATGCTCAGTGTGGAGCATTGGAATTTACTTACATACTTACTTATTTATTTATTTATTTTAGAGAGGGAGCACATGAGCAGGAAGAGGGGCAGAGGGAGAGGGAGAATCTTAAGGGCCATGCTCAGTGTGGAGCAGGACCCCGGCTTCAATCCCACCAACCATGAGATAATGAGCTGAAATCAAGAAGAGGATGCTTAACTGACTGATCTACCCAAATGCCCCTAAAGTGAGTTTTTAAGTCCATAATTTAAAAAGTGCTAAGAGGGGCACCTGGCTGGCTCATTCATTTGGGCGGCCACCTCTTCATTTTGACTCAAGTCATGATTCCAGGGTTGGGGTATCAACTCCTGTGTTGGGCTCAACTCTGACAGCACAGAGTCTACTTGGGATTCTCTCCTTCTCTCTCTCTGCTTCTCCCTCACACTTTCTCTCTCCCAAAATAATATAAGAAACATTTTTTAAAAAATTTTAAAACCCTCATTTTTAAAAACCTCACTTTTGGGGTGCCTGGGTGGCTATCAGTTAAGTGACTGACTCTAGATTTTGACTCAGGTCGATTTTACAGTTGAGATCCACCATGTGTCTGCACTGAGTGCAGAGCCTGCTTACGATTCTCTCCCTCCCTCTGTCCCCACCCCTGCTTGTGTGCATGTGCCTGTGTACACAGCACACACTCTCAAAAAATAAAAAAATAAAATTTTAAAAATTCACTTTTATGTTGTTTGATAATTAATCGACTAACATTATAAATTTCATCTTGGATGCTTTTGGTCATTTATGTTTTTCTAGGAAATTATCCATTTCCTCTAGGTTTTCCAATGTGTTGCTTATACAGTTGTATGCAGCATGTTAAAGTGAACATCTTTCTGTATCTTCATCTTATTTCACTTCTTGGCAGCATTCAAGATAATTGAAGACTGTACTTCTAAGTTTTGAGTTTCTTTTAATTCTTTTAAATATTTATTCATTTTTGAGAGACAGAGCATGAGTGGGAGAAGGGCAGAGAGAGAGGGAGACACAGAATCCCAAGCAGGCTCCAAGCTGTCAGCACAAAGCCTGATGCGGGACTCGAACCCACAGACCACGAGATCATGACCTGAGCCGAAGTCAACTGAGCTACCCAGGTGCCCCTAAGTTTTGAGTTTCTTAAATTTTTTGAATGGGTGGTATTGATTCCTACCTTCAGTGTGATAAGGCAGAGGAATGTATGACAGATACTAACAGAAAATTACAGGAAATTTAAAAATTTAGTGCATTATTTTCTTGACATTTTTCATTTTCTGACGAGTAGTTTCCTCTCTGTAATTATGCAATTTATTACCCCTTTCCCATTTTCTATATTGTTTTGAAAAATTACAGCCTTATAATAGAGATCAGGAATTTGCTAACATTGTGGCTGATCCATTTAACAACAGTAAATATTGAATTTGACAACAGAGAATAGAATCACAAATATAGTCTTTTCATAAGCAAAGAATCAAATATTTAAACCAAAGGACAATTAGAGGGTGATGTCATCTCTAACACAGGCATACCTCTCTGAGATTTTCAATGTCCTTCAAGATCATAACTAATAAAAATATGACATAATACAACTGCTTATAATATGGACTTTCTACTTTTTATATTAAAATAATGCTTGCTATAACATGACTCTACTAAACTGGATTTCTGCAAAAGATAAAAATACTATCTGAACATGATAAAATAAAGTGAGCTTCCAGGAAAAGATTATCGTGACAAACTAAAACACAACTTCAGATGATGCAGTATAGCTAAAACAAAACAAAACAAAATACAAAACAGCCATTGAGTCTTCTGCAATCCAACCTTCGATGCAAAGGGATTCCATGGCTAGCCAAACCATATTCCTTTAGTTTTCCTCATACTTTAACAAGTTAAATTATCTAGTGAATTACAGTCATTAAACTTGAAAAATGCTTCAATTAAATGGAAAAACTTCCCATGCAAACTCTCCAAATATCAAAGTAAGAGTCAAGATATTTTCTGCATAAAATTTCCACCTGGATATACCACTTTGAAGTGCTAAACTTTTAACTATTTGAAGTGGAAACTGGTATCACCAAATGAAACACATATCCTGCCTTCTTAAATACCAAATACTACCCATCTTGATTCAAATTCATTGTTAAACATTACTTTGATTAAGTTGATCATGGGTTGTTCTCAGGCACTAGAGTGTCCAGGATCCTTTGTTAAATTTTCTTAAGTTGCTATACTTTTAATGTTCACATTAAATTTACGTTTTGGTTTCTTCTCCTACTATCAGCTGTTACATTTTTTGTCTACGTGCCACTGGCAGGATCCTGTTGATACTTGTGATTTTTTTCTAGGAGCAGAAATCAGATAACCAAACTTACTGGAATTAGTTGTGAAGTGATAAGCAGACTCTGAAGATGGGGGCCTGAGGCACTCAATTCTTAGATGTTTCTAGTAGGTAGTTAATAAAATATCCACCATAATTTAAGAACACTATTGAACAGAATTTTAAAACTCTTTGCAGAGGGAGAGTCTGATAGCATGTTTCTAATGGGAAACTATAGGAATCACAATAAGGAAGGCAGAACTATATAGATCAGCAACTGGCTTACGTAGCTTCCCATAAACTTATTAACAAATTAGGTTACAAAATACAAAAGCAATTTAATGAATCATCATATGAGGCATTAAACTCAAAGTTGAATTGTAATGTGCTTTCATAATACAACTTGCTTACTCATATGAATGAATCATTAATACCTCAAGCCTGCTCAACAGTTTTGTATACCTGATATTTATGTCATGGTGTGTTCATTTGCTGAGTAAGGCAATGAGTAGTTCCCTGGGGAAGGAGAAGCAAGCCTCAAAACAATCACTTGACAGTGATAGAGTTGTTTCTTTAAGGCTCTAGAAAACCACAGTATGTATTTCAAGAGCTGTTATCTTCTGTTGTAACAATTCAGAAACAGTTGGTTATCAGATTATTCATTTTTTAAAGCAGACATGATAGAATTCAGTACATTTACAAGAGGAAGTGACAGCAACTGATAATAATGCTTATGTAAAGGGAGTCATTAAAAAACACCTTGCTACCATCCCAGGCTTCTGAAAAATCTGCACAGGTAGGAAAATATTTGGACACAGCTCTTTAACGTATTTTAAAGATTGAGAATGTGAGGAGCACAAACTATACTGAGTATAGCTCTCACACTTTGGGGATGTTAAAAGTATCTTTTATGAGATAATTAGTTTTCAATTCTTTATACACATTTAGTTGACAAAATTTAAAGTTGATAATTTCATTTTAGTCCCCACATGGTTAGGAAACTTCACCTTCTGTGAGATCTAAGTACGGGAATTGCTAGAATGAACATGTTGCTGTGCTGCAGTAAACTGTTTTAAAGAAAAGCATTTCATGATCACAGATCATGGATATTCAAACTTTTGGTACGGAAGATTTCCCCCAAAACCTCGTGACCATCTATGGAGAAATAATTGTTTAGTCTGACAGTGAAGCCCCTTAAACGTGCTGAAGAGATGATTTTAGGAAAGAACACCCAGAGCCATAGTGACAGCAGTGGTAGACTTCTCCCTCTTCGCACATAAGGAGAGATGAACTATTTTGGACACACACCTTGTAAAACTGTTCAAAACCACAACTACATTTCTAACCCTAACTTTAAAATTCCTGCTTTTGGGGAGCCTGGGTGGCTCAGTCAGTTGAACGTCCAACTCCTGATTTCAGTTCAGGTCATGATCTCGTGGTTAGTGGGTTTGAGCTCTGCGTGGGGCTCTGTATGGACACCACGGGGTCTGCCTGTGATTCTCTCTCCCTCTGTGCCCCTCCCCTGTTCTCTCCCTCTCTCTCTCTCTCGAAATAAATAAAAATAAAACATAAAAAAAAAGGTTTTAAAATCCCTGCTGTTGGTCACAAGAGTCAAGATCACACAATAGAACCTACTGACATTTGTAATAAATTACAAATCTAGGTACCAGACTTAGTGCAATGTCTCATACATACATGTGCTACCTATTAGCATATCCTTGTATATAAAAAAGACACAGTAAACTGACAGGATTGTACCTTTAATAGACAGACTTAAGGATAGTTATTAATATAGGAACTATAATATACAATAAAACTAAATAGACTCTTAAGCTAAAAAATTATGAAAGTTTTAAAGACTCTTCAAGCTTATTTGGCAAACTTTCTGTATTTTATGTTTTATTGGCTTACACTGTTATGTAAGAGAAAAATGTATACCATTTTGAATACTGAACTGTTTATCATTTTAATATGAATTCAGATATACTTTATTTCTAATTGACCTTCAAATGGCAGCAGCTCATAAGTTTAGTAGAAGTATTCTTACCACCCCAACCCACCCTGTCATTCAGTCGAAGAGTTCAAGATACATACACAAAACACACACCTAAACAGACACAAACAAGACTTTTGTAAAGTAAACACATTTTTTATAATGTAAATAACTGTTCCTTTTTGGAACTTTCTATATCCAGTTCAAGTCTTTTCTGAAATTGGGATATTCACACTTACTAGACACAATCTTTATAAAGCAAAGCACTTATCTCTTTGAAAACTCAAGTAATTCTTGAGAGCAATATGTTTCTTATTGATCTAAAAAGAACAGTGTGGCAGTCCAAAAAAAAAAATCACTTCAAAAGCTCAAAACAGAAGAGGACTGAAAAACAATATGTTTAATAGTGTATAGAGAAAATTTCTAAGTGTAGAGTCTATTAAAAATATTGACATTTAAAGGAATAGCTTTGGACACAGTGGCAAAAACTTAAATTTTTCTCAGTTAATTAAAACCAAGAGTGTTGATTTATTTAGGAAAATAACATTAAGTCTCTGAAGTAAGAATGAAAGGGTTGTACGATTTAATTTCTATATAAACGATTGTTTGAATATATAAAGTATCAAATATGAACAGTAGTGTAACAAGAAAATAAATTGGCAGAAATAATTACTCAATGAGTAGTAATAATTAAGACCACCATTTGAAAGATCTTCTATACACAAAGAATGAAAAAATATTATTTTAAGATTTTACAGCACACAACTGAATTCAATCCTAATTCATTACTATTATACTTCTTTCTTCTTCAGTATTAGTGGCCCCACATTATCTCCTGTCAACTCATTGTGTTTATTATGTGAACCATCACAGGCAGGAAACTAGAAAGGAAAAAGAATTACAAGTATTATTTTTAAAATGATTCAACAAGTAGAAATATATGTGAAATGCTATTATAAAGCACATGACTTTGAAAAACAAATCATCAGACAGCTTTCCTGAATAATGTATATTCTACACCTAACCTAACTGCATTCTAATATCACAGCAAATCTAACAACTTTAAATAGTTACTTTATTATTTGACATTGGTTTTAAATAAAAAGCTTTGGATTGACTATTCCAAGAGTCAATAAAACAGGCTTAAAGGGGGATCAAAATAATCTCTTGTTTTCTGTGGAGCTCCAAATTAGAGCTTACCTCTTCACTTATTTAAGTTTGAAAAGAATGTACAGTTAACCTTGAACAACCCAGGTTAGAATTGTGTGGGTGCACTGAACTGTGGATTGTTTTTTTGATAAACACAGTATAGTACTGTAAATGAATTTTCTCTTCCTTATGGTTTTATTACTAACATTTTTCTCTAGCTTACTTCACTGTAAGAATAAAGTATGTAATACATCTAACATGTAAGATATGTGTTGACTGTTTATGTCATCAGTAAGGCTTCTGGTCAACAATAAACTAGTAAGTTTTTGGAGGAGTCAAAAGTTATACCCAGATTTGACTATGCAGGTGATTGGTGCCCCAGCCTCCATGTTGTTCAAGGCTCAACTGTAATTTAAATTCAAAATACATAATTTCATGTTTTCTTACCATAAAACTCACACATATTGTAAAATTTTGGAAAACATTTTAAAATGCATTTTAAAAAATTCACTCAATAAGTAACAATAATCAATATTTTTATATAATTTTTCCTCTGCATTTACTATGTGTATCTCTTTTTTAAAAAATAAAATTGGGATCATACTGTACTGTGCTTTTATTAATTACATCATGCTTTTCTGTCATTGAAATATTCTTTAAAAACATTACTTGGAATGGTTTCCTAATAACCCATAATTTGTATTATACTATTCTTTAATCATTCCTATTTTCAGACATCTAGATTATTTCCAAAACTTTGCTATTACAATAAGTGTTGTGATGAACATTATTATACTTAAAACTTCAAATAGTCTATGATCAAAGTACTTGAAGAAAACAGATCTATCTACTTATATTCATCACTACATACTCATTTTTATTTCCACACTATAAATCATCCATAATTACAGCTGCCACTTATTAGCTTATCTATATATAAGGAACTGTACATACAGCATCACACTAAATCCTAAAAGATGTTTGTGATGTTGAAATATTATCAGAAAAAAAACCCTGAACATCAGAGATTAAAGATTCTGTAACCTGCCCAACCAAAGTCATACTGTAAGAGGCAGACATCAGTTTCGAAAACATCAGATTTCTATTCTTCCCTTTCCTAATGTAGGTAAGTATCCATCATAACATGCATAAAACTTTAATGTAGGAATATAAAATTTCAGTACTGAATACTGTGGAAAAATCTTTGATCTCAGAGAACTTCAAAACTAAGGATTTACAAAGCAGAACAATTTTAACTGCACAAAGTTTCAGAGCACGTGCAAGCAGACATCTTACCGTCTTAGAACGCCAACACCTACAATAAGCTGCTTTAGCGAGACACAAATCTTCAATGTTTATTTCATTCACCACTTTGGGATTTTCCTTTTGTATTTTAAGATTAATCAAGCTATCCTTCTGCTGTTTTTTCTTCGGGAGGAATGGACGAATTGCAAGGTAGCCAAGTAGTGCAAGTACACCAAGGAAAGGCAATAACCGAAGCCATTCTGAAACTAAACATGTACAGATTTAACAGTCTGCAACACTCTTTAATAGAACTCAAACAGCACGTGTCACGCTTAAATTTATTCTTTATCTATTCTTTACTTCTCACATTAATTTCTTGACTAACTTACTATACGTCTATGAATAATAACATAGTGAAGCCACCTATATATCTCTAAGCCCACCTTGTTTGATTTGTGGGCTACCTGAAGACTTGTGAAACTGGAACACAAAGTTTTGAGAAATGTATCATATCAAATATCCTATTTCATTACCCTTACACCAAGTATATTTGCATTTACCTTTATTTTTATTTCAGGAATAATGATCACCAGAATTACAAAGTTCAACATGTGATACATTTTATAGGTTTAGAAAACATTTCTACCATGTCTAAAATCATACAACAGAATACCCAAGAATATTCCATTGATTTAGAATTTCAGACAGAATATGCCTTCAATGCTTTAATTTACATTTTTGGTAAGACAGTGATTCCTAAAGAAATGTTGTCTGAAAGCTGCTATTTTAAAGAACTAATTAAAATTTTCATACACGAATCTTCTCATTATTAGATACATCTAATTCCCTAAGTGTTCATTAAATGCCTTATGGGGCACTCAGGACTGTCATGGGGGGGGGCGGGGTCAGGAAATATTAAGTAATATAAATAAAATGGTCTCTATGTCTATGAAGACAAACACATAAGGAAACCAAGATAAACATTTAAGCATCATTCATCAAATGTTGGCTAGTGCCCTCCCTCTGTGGGGCTCTGCAGAGAATCCTTTCTGTTCTTAAATATTATCATTTGACAATCTTCACTGAGTACTTACCTGATATCTTGCTCTGCACTATGTAAAAATCACTTGATTATGTGCCAAGGCATGCTAATTAATGTTAGTAATAGACTATGCTAAGAGTATAACTGTATTATCTTATTTAACTCTGTTAAGCTGTGTTAGCTTAAAACATTTGGTAGGTACCATTATTATCCCCATTTTTCACGTGGGTAAACTGCAGCTGCCTAAGCAGGTTTAGTACAGGACAATAAATCCAAAGTCTAGTTTTCAATCATGATAAATAAAATCCAACAAATTAAAAATTTTATCTGTCCTTCTCTTGATAAGACTATTCCCCAAAGAAAATTGTTCTATTTATTAAAAGAAAAAAATTATAATTCTTAATGTATATTTATCTATTTACTTATTTATTGCAAAAACACATGCAAGCAGGGGACAGGGGAGAGAGAAACGAAGCGAGAAAGGAAGAGAGAGAGAAAGAGAGAGAGAGAGAGAGAGAGAGCCCCAAGCAGGTTCTGCACTGTCAGTACAGCACCCAATGCAATGTGGGGCTTGATATCATCAACGGGGAGATGATCACCTGGGCAGAAATCAAGAGTTGGATGCTTAACCGACTGATCCATCCAGATGCCCTAAGATAATTTTAGATTATAATAAGAGCCATAAAGGAAACAGACAGGATGCTGAAAGAAAGAAAAAGATTATCCTAGGGACCAAGCAGTAGGTTGACTTCAACTTTCAGTAAGGAAGTCAGGAAGGAAAAAAAAGATCTTTAAGTCAAGACCTAAAGATGAGAAGGTGGGGGGCTCAAAGACTTAAGAAAAGAACTTTCAAGGCACAAGGAAGAGTCCATGTAGAAGAAGCTTCCAACTTCACAGCACTGTTGGGAGGAATGAATGAAGTTAGAAACCACTAGAAAAACTACAGAGCACTCTGTGAAAGGATGCTACTAACGCATTTTGCCCTGAAACTACAGTTATGTAAACATGTCTCCTCCCCCACTCCCTCTCTAACAGAGAGGTCTATTAACCAAGACTTCAATTAATTTTACCTGAATTGAATCTGTACTCCATTAAACTGACATTTAAGATAACTCCTATTAGATATGCACTTGTTTGCCTTTGTTCAAGGCCTATGAATAATAACAGTGTAAGTTAACAGATAAGAATTGTTTAAAATATTTAAGAAAAAAACTTTAAGCACTCTCAACAAATATAAAACCTCATAGACAGATTAGGTGATAAAACAGGTGAAGATACAAAAATTACAAGACACAGTCCCTACCCTCAAAGAAGCTTTTCACCTAGTATGGACTATAGATCTATATATTTAAAAAAAAAAGGACTAAGTATTATATAGTATGTGCAATTATAAATTTTTTTTTATGTTTTATTTATTTCTAGGAGAGAGAAACAGCGTGAGCAGGGGAGGGTTAGAGAGAGAGGGAGGCACAGAATCTGAAACAGGCTCCAGGCTCTGAGCTGGCAGTCAGCACAGAGCCCGACGCGGGGCTTGAACCCACGAACCGCGAGATCATGACCTAAGCAAAAGTTGGACGCTTAACCGACTAAGCCACCCAGGTGCCCCTAGTATGTGCAATTATAAATAAGCAATACAGAAGACATGATTAACTCTGCAGGGATGAGCAAAGACTTTACAGAGAGGATATGGCACCTAACCAGGTTTCTGAAAGATTAAATAAGACTACAGAAGTCCATAGGCTGAAGGGAGGAGGAGCTACCTTTCACACAGAAGAAACAGCATAAGCAAAGACACAGAGATACAATGTGCATGAAACGTTGGGGGAAGTAAGCATAACAATATTGCTGGAATATGATGAAGTAAGAGAGGGACTTTAGAAGTGGTCAGGTGCCAATGAGAAAGAATGAAATCTGGCCATTTGTAGCAAAATGGATGGAACTCGAGGGTGTTATGCTGAGTGAAATAAGTCAGGCAGAGAAGGACAGATACCATATGTTTGCACGTATAGGAGGATTAGGAGGAACTGAATGGAGGACTGTGGGGGAGGAGAAGGGGAAAAACAGTTGGGGAGAGGAAGGGAGGCAAACCATGAGAGACTCTTGAATGCTGAGAACAAACTGAGGGCTGATGAGGGTGGGGGAGAGGGAAAGGAGGGTGATGGGCACTTGTTGGGATGAGCACTAGGTGTTATATGTAAACCAACTTCATAATAAACTATTTAAGAAAAAAAAGAAGTGGTCAGGTGCCAGATGATAAAAATCAATAGGTAGGTAATAATCTACCCGGTACATAAAAGGCAACCATTGATATTAATGAGTATCATTGAATATTAATATAATTGGAAAGCTGTTGATTTATGGACTCAGAATTATGGTATCAGATTGACGATGGACTAGTGGAGAGACAGAGGGAAGAGCAGAGAGGAATGTTAGTGGGAGGGCAAGAGGCAAGACGATCTGTTAGAATTCCACTGAAATAATCCCCCACCCCCAAATACTGCAAGCTTAAACTAAGGCAGTGGCCATTAAAGCAAAGAGGACAAATGTATCCCCTAAAACTGCCTAAAAAGTGTATACGTGGATGTGTGCATGCATTTTTTGAGGAGATAGTCTGATGCTTTTACTGGGATCACAAAGTAAGTCTGCAATCAATTTTCACCTACCTTGAAACTTAAGAACCACTAACTCAGGCAGTAAAATCAATAGGATTGGGTGAGTGATCAAGTATGGAGCATGAGGTTAATGAAGTGAGGCTCCTTCATGATTCCCAGATTTCTGGTTTATTATCTCGATGAATGGATATACTGGTCTCTAACTTAAAAACACAACAGAACAGAATAGAAGAAGGGCAGTTTTAAGCAGCTAGAGACCAGTGCAGTGTTGTAAAAGAAAGGGGAAAATATGAAGAAAAATATTCCTTAAAGAATATAAGGGAGAGACTAAAGGTCTACAGTTAACAGTAAAAAATTAGGAATACTGATGGATGGCATAAGTCATGGCTTTCTTTGAAACAGTGAAATAGTCTAATGTGGAAGTTGCTCTTCAGAGTCTAAAAGATGCCAACTCTTGGGGCACCTGGGTGGCTCAGTTGGTTAAGCATCTAACTCTTGATTTTAGCTCAGGTCATGATCTCACAGCTTGTAGGACTGAGCCCCGCGTCAGGCTCTGCGCTGACAGCAGAGAGCCTGCTTGGGATTCTGTCTCCCTCTCTCTAACCCTACCCCACGTTCTCAAAAATAAATAAATAAATGTTAAAAAAAAAAAAAAAAGATGTTAACTCTCTCTGCTCTCCCAGAAGGACAAGAAAAATAGAGAAAGAAAATATATCACTGAGAGAGCTACAGGGGAAGTGGTTTACTAAGGGACAGCTTTGTTTCATTTAGGGTGAGGAGGTGCATCTATGAAAAATTATCAGGTAGACAAGCCAGGGGTACATCTGGGTGGCTCAGTCCATTAAGCGTCTGACTGTGGCTCAGGTCATGATCTTGCAGTTCATGAGTTTGAGCCCTGTGTCAGGATCTGTGTTGACAGCTCAGAGCCTGGAGCCTGCTTCATTTTCTGTGTCTCCCTCTCTCTCTGTCTCCCTCTCTCAAAAATAAACATTAAAAATTGTTTTTGATAAAATAAAAAGTAGACAGCCAGGAGAAGATAACAGTGTGAGAGAATATCAGGGGCTATGGGGTGGGGTAAGGATTTTGGGCTGTAATTAAATCAAGGAGATTGGAGATGGAACTGACTGACCTCAACATTCAATCCACTAAAAACGCACTCAGGCAACATTTTGCCTATTCATTTGAATGTAAAAGGCTTGAATTTCCTTACATTTTTTTCCTTTACTTGAAATTTTTCCCTTCAGGAAGACTTTTTTTCTCCACCAGTGAAATTCTCTTGTTTCCACTTTTTTTTAATTACCTGTTTCTAAGTTAAAAACAAAAATTAGACCACACTAATACTAAAAAACCAAGCAGGGTTTTAATATGCATTTTGCAATATTCTATTTTCCACTATTAAGATAAACAACAAACAGACTCAGAAGGTAGAGTAAAAGAACTAGTACCATCAGAGAAACAAACTGTACACAGAATAGAACATTTCAAAGCAACTTGAGGAGCAAGCAATTTTAACATAAATTTTTTGAAAGTTTAAATGTTAAAAGAAGGTACAGTATCTCCTTAGAGAATCTGGTTTAAGACAGGGCAGATTCATACTTTTATAAAGACAGGC